GGACAGCGGGGCTGCAGTGTCCCAGTGATGTCCCTGATGTCCCCATGTCCCAGTGTCCCCATGTCCCCAATGTCCCCATGCTGTCCCCAATGTCCCCGATGTCCCCATGTCCCCATGCTGTCCCCAATGTCCCGATGTCCCCCACGTTGTCCCCAATGTCCCCACGTCCCCATGTCTCCATGCTGTCCCCAATGTCCCCCATGTCCCCAATGTCTCTGATGTCCCCATGTCCCCATGCTGTCCCCAGTGTCCCTGATGTCCCCATGTCCCCATGGTGTCCCCATGTCTCCATGGTGTCCCCAATGTCCCCAATGTCCCCGATGTCCCCAATATCCCCACTGTCCCCATGTCCCCATGCTGTCCCCATGTCTCCATGCCTGTCCCCGATGTCCCCAATGTCCCGATGTCCCCCATGTTGTCCCCAATGTCCCCACGTCCCCATGTCTCCACACTGTCCCCAATGTCCCCATGTCCCCACGCTGTCCCCAATGTCCCCCAAATCCCCAGTGTCCCTGATGTCCCCATGTCCCCATGCTGTCCCCAAAGTCCCCCCGTCCCCAGTGTCCCCGATGTCCCCATGTCCCCAGTGTCCCCCATGTCCCCAGTGTCCCCGATGTCCCCATGTCCCCATGCTGTCCCCAATGTCCCCACATCCCCACGCTGTCCCCATGTCCCTGATGTCCCCATGTCCCCACACTGTCCCCAATGTCCTCGATGTCCCCATGTCCCCACGCTGTCCCCGATGTCCCCATGTCCCCATGTCCCCATGTCCCCGTGCCCCCAGGTGGACGAGCTGTTCCTGGAGGATTTCCACAGCCCGACGTCGGCGCTGTTCCGGGACTTCGACTACGAGCCGATGGCGGCCGCCAGCCTGGCGCAGGTGCACAGGGCCACGCTGAGGGACGGGACGCCTGTGGCTGTCAAGGTGGGGACGGGGGGGACAAGGGGGGGACACTGAGGGGACAGCAGGGGGACAATGGGGGGACACTGGGGGACAGCAGGGGGACAAGGGGGGACAAAAGGGGGACCAGGG